TTTTAAATTAACAAACTGAGTAATGTATAGTTCTAAAATTTAAATTATAATCTACAGTTTGATACCAAACTTATTGACATAAGTTCATGAAATTGTAGTTCAATAAAATTTTAAATGTGAGTCAACAAACACAATGACATGGCCTTTCACCTGTGACCCATCTCAAAAGGGTTAATGGGTATGTACCAAACTCTCACAACAGTTAAACAAAAAAAGTAAAATTCAGGGGTCTCAATATTTATTGGATCATTAGAAATAGTAGGATGCAATATAAGAAGTTTAAAAGATACATTTTTTAATTCCTTAAGTGTATATATACATATGTATATATACATATGTGTGTGTGTGTATTGTAAGAGTGACAGTCAAACACATTATTCACTCAGTTCAAAGCCCTTATGATGACGGAGTGCTGCTGATTTACTTCTCTTTTTTAAAGAGGTCTTCAACTTAGTCTTGAAGCTAATGTGCATATAAGGTCTCATTAAAGCTGAAAATACTATTGGAGCTAATCATCCACAGTTATTATTCTTGTCCTGGCAATATTTGATGTAATTGTAAGCTGTACAGTGATTTGGTTTTCTTAAACATTAATATATTTATTCAAGATAGAGAGAGAGAACATTATAAAGGTGTTTGGTTGCCTAGGAAATGAAGATATTCAGATTTCAAATAGTGGGTCATAGGTTTTCTCATTGACCGGTTACTTTGAGCATATGTGGATTCCCAAGTAAAGCCAGAAATGTATGTTAAATACCAGTAATCTTTTGGTACAGGTAAAAAAGTCTGACAAATAGAATGAAATACTGAAAAATTGGAGAACTATTGATATAAATACTGTTTTTTCACTATATTTTAACTTTGCTTTTTACACCGTAGAAATTGCACATAAGACAAGATTTAAACTGATAAAGTTGATACACATAAATATCATGCTTTTCTCACTCATAATTTTATTCTTTAAACAGTTGGGAAAAATGCTAAGATTATATTTTCATTAACATTGGTACAACTTTAATACTTAGAAAAATGTTATATTTTGGTCTCTACCAAAAACGTAAGTAGGACCTTATACCAATGTACATACACAGATTTACCCTGTATGCTTAACTAATGTTTTCTCATTTTTGAATGAAAATTATTGACTTGTAAAATAAATTCATTTTTATGATTTCCTTACAGCTATGGCCTTTGTAACATACATCCTTACTGCTGGTTACTTGTTGGGAACACAAAATAAGTAAGTTTTGATATTTTCATGAATCCAGTATGTTTTTTATAACATCAAAATTGATGAAACATGAATGCTTCTAGGGTAACTGGCATGATTAAATGTCACACAATATCTACTGGTTCAATAAAACATTGCATATACTACAGCTTCAATTATACATCGTCTGTATAGCTGATAATGTCTTTTTTTCAATAGCAGAGCTCGTCAGACCTGCTAAGTAACAGTGCACAAAGCTTGGTGGGCAACAGCCAACAATATGTTGTATACTTAGATTTTATTATATAGTCCTCTGGTGTTGGCCAACTAAAGTCTTTTAAAAACATTATTTGGTTTTTTTGTAACTTTTAGTATCACCAACCAACAAATTAAAACAAATTTCATTAGTAAAATGTTTATTTAGCAAGAAGATTAATTATTTTTGAAGATATGAGATTAGTTATGAAAATTATGAAGTCTCTTGAAGCAGCAAGAAACCATTTTTAATAATTTTATTTGTTTTATTAAACCTTTTTTATTTTAATTGATGTAAGTTATATTTTAAAATTTGATTCAAATACATGATTTTTCATGAGATTTGTAAAAAGCATACAAGAACTAAATATATTACCTTTAATGTAACAGAATTAACCATTTATTTATATTTAAGATGCACAAGTTTTGTGAAATGACTTCAAAACTTGTAACTATTCTGAATATTTTAGTAATTTCTGTAAAGATTAAATTGTTTTTCCTATTATGTTTAAGCCTAACATAAGTCAGATCATAGTAAATTAACAATAAATAATTATCTTTAGCTTGAGCACCAGTTTTGCATACAAAAACATTTTCAGGATTTAAATAATTTTAAAATAAGTTTTCTATCTAATCCAATAGCATGTCATCTACATGCAGAAAAACTAGAGGGAACTGTGTGCACCTTTTTTTTTAATTGATTTTTCTAGAAAGTAGAAAAAAGAAAAAGGTTGTCTGACCAACTGAAAGAATAGTTTATGAATTGAATACATTTTTCTTTTTCACAAAGCTTTGAAACTGCCTTAATCTAACAAAAAAATAAGATAGTGTCAGGATTTTGCTTGATAGTGTCCTGTTATTTAAAAAATATGTAAATATTTGAAAAAAGCAGTTTTTTTTCTATTTATGCTACTTTTTTTAAACATATTTACTTTAAAATCAAAAGCCAAGGTTTTTTATAATATTGCTTTACAAGGTACATTATTTCCCAGGTTGTTGTTATTATTTCCTTTCCTTAACCAAATGTTATTTTGTAGTTTAATTAATGACTTATTCAACATGTAAATTTTCCATCTCTTGCTTTAAAATGGTAGCTATTTTTTAAATTTGAAATTTTGGAAAAGAATTGTCTATTGTTTTACTTGACATTATTATTATTTTTTTGTCCATAAAATATATGTTATTTTTTTGTTAAAGAGTTGAATATGTAAGAAAAATCTCTGTTCATTCAATTTCCCAGATTTAGTCCAGAACAATTAGGAATCCATGCGAGCTCAGCATTAGCCTGGCTGACCATTGAACTCGCAATCATTTTACTTGCTCTGTATGTTCTAAACATTGGAAATTCACTGAAGGTGTTGGACTTGACAGCTTTTTGCAGTTATAAGTATGTCTGGTAAGAAGATTTGTTTTAGTCTTTCATGGCAGCTTAGGTCTGATTATTAAGTTCTGAGAAACACTTCTAATGTTGAAGTATATAAGGTTTTATAATTGTGCATCTCCCCCTAAAATCAAATGCAGTTTCCTCAATAGAAAATGTTTTACACATGGTTTATTACTGTATGATAAAACTTTGCAACTACAATACTTGTCCCCTTCTGTAAAGTAAAGATTGTTTATTTTACACATGGTTTATTACTGTATGATAAAACTTTACAACTACAATACTTGTCCCCTTCGGTAAAGTAAAGATTGTTTATTTTACACATGGTTTATTACTGTATGATAAAACTTTGCAACTACAATACTTGTCCCCTTCGGTAAAGTAACGATTGTTTATTTTACACATGGTTTATTACTGTATGATAAAACTTTACAACTACAATACTTGTCCCCTTCGGTAAAGTAAAGATTGTTTATTTTACACATGGTTTATTACTGTATGATAAAACTCTACAACTACAATACTTGTCCCCTTCGGTAAAGTAAAGATTGTTTATCTGATGTTTTTAATAGGTCTTAATCAATATGCTTCTTTAGAAATTTTCTATTATATTTTAAAGTTTCATCCAATGCAGTTGTTAATTTTACTAAGACTTGAGGTTTATTTTCTTTAGAAAGTAGAATAACTCTTGACATTAAACAGTTTCCTCATGTTTCAGCATCGTGAGTGGGGTTAATATGAAAACTTGTATTAATCCCTATTATAGTTCTTAGACTGTTAGGTTGTAAGTTCTGCTGTCTAAAAACCAAATCTTTGATATTTGTTCAGATCATATTTCACATTATATCCACAAATTTTAATACATAATTTAACAATAATACTTTAGTTTCCTGTTAATATCAGCATTCATGTTAAGTGTAATATACTGGTATTTTAACAATAAAAGTCCTACAGGACATAAAAAAATGCATTGTCAGTCCTTTGGGCCTGAACATTTTTACACACCTGTAATTATAGATCTAGATTTTTGACAATTAAAAAGTGATGAGAAAAGAGCATTGATGTAAAAGCCATTTTGTTTTCATGAAAACTGCACACCAACATGATGTGTGAACATACCTTAGTTATAATTGTGTTTGTGAGAGGAAAGGATATGGCACATGTGCTGTTATTAGATGTTATATTGTATACAAAAGAAATGTAATCTAAACAAGCATTACTATTTTCGTTCATTAAACAAAAAATAATTTTATTCTCAATAATCTTGGTCTGTCATGTGGTTTTAAAATATGTGTTTTTTTTCATTTTTTATGCATGTTTATAACATTGAAATTTTAAGTTTAACTAATAGTAATTCCAGTTGTTACTTCCTTCAAGTCATACAATGTGTTAAATAATGTACTCTGAAATAATTGTAATTACTATTATTTGAAAAGTGTGTGAACATTATCTAGGACTTAACATATTATTACACATTGTGGTTTTTTCTATTTATATATCTATTCTATAAGCTCTAACTAGTTTTATCTTAATTTGGTATTAATACAAAACATATTTAAAATGTGATCAGTTAGAAATTATATCAAGTAAACAAAAAATTTTCTTTCTTATATGTGGAAACTAGACTATTATGACAAAGTTAATGCCATCAGCCTTTGGGCTTGAGTTGTTTTCCATACAATTTACAATAAGATTAACATAATATTTTTGAATTTTATAAGATATCTTACATAGGTTTATCTAAAGTATATCATGTTTGCAACTTAATGAATTCAACTAAATAAAAAGTTGCCAAATGCATTTGCCAATTTGGTTAGTGACAGATAGAATCCTGAGTATTTTACTTTGTCATTATTCTTTAAGAGGGGGGAGACAACAAGTTTAGGGCTGTCTGGCCCAATGTCAGTTAAGAAGAAAAACTACCATGAACACTGCATAGATGTTTGTTTTTGCCCTGAAGAGAAGGTTCTAAGGCAACATTAATCAGTATCTTATTTACCATAAATGATAAGTTTGAGGTAATTATTGAAGATAAATGTTATGTCATTCCAACCAAATTTTATATAAAAGTTACATATTTTGGTCATAGAAAATGGATTTAGAAATTACTTTTAAAATGTATCACTCTGTAACTTTTTTTTTTTCATTTTCAGCATGATTGCTGCTGTCCTTGCAAGTTTGATTTTCAGTTCTCTGGGCTATTTTGCTGTTTTGTGTTATTGTAGTTTGTCACTGGATTTCTTTTTGGTAAGTCACACATATAGTTTAACTCCAAACTACCGTATTTTTCGGAATATAAGACGCACCCTTATTTTGAAGACAAAGTTTTGGGGAAAAAAAAAAGCTACAGTCGCATTTGAAAGATTTTTGTTGAACAAAAATTC